ATAAAGTTTTTGAGCCCTTGGATAATACAGTCAGGATTCCGTGAGTCCATGTCTATATATGTACTACTCCGAAGCACTGCGCTCAACGAAGTTAGGACCGAGACATACGATGACTTGAAACCACCAGGGCAGTATGCGTGCTGTCCCCCGTCCCTAGGGATATATGCTCACGTCTGATTTCAATTGTCCGGTGCATGATGGCGTGGCTGCACTCGCCGTCACAAGGCGAGCAACGGGGCCTTTTCTTTTCTTTTATCTACATGGACTCCTGTGCCATCGCAGACGATATTATCACCGTAAAAGCAAACCTACAAGGATTTTCGTAAGCTGGTGGCGAGATGCGCAGGCCACTATAGAGCCCTGGGCAAGCTAGCAAAGGAGCTTGAGGGTACGGTTGCGCAGTTCGGAGTCATTGCGGGACACAAGTGAGTTTGTATCTGCGATCTTGCGGAAGAGTCCTGGGATGTGTATCTCGCTTGCAGCTCTGTCAGCGAAGCGAGGCAGCATATCCTTGGCACCGTCACGAGGCAATATAATCTCCATTGGTGCCTTCGGCACGCATGCAGGCGACTCACAGGCGAGTGCGGAGCTGAACGACGCGTTGGATGACACCATCTGCCGGCGCCGTACGACTTACGATCCGTACTCGATACCTCCATGCGGACGCTTTAAATGGAATAATTATCTCGACGCCGGGTGATAGGCAATACGAGTGCGGCGCACGGGGATCAAGTGGCACTATTGGACTGACTAGTGGGGCGTCTTCCGCCGCAGCTACCTAGACACGAGGGCTCTTCAAGCAATCTGCGCCGTCAGGTTCCGAGAGATGACTCATTTCTCACTCATCTAGTACTGAATATAGACGAGAGAGGAGTTTATAATAAAAGAGCTCGTAATTAAATTTCGTGTGCTTGAACACTCATCGCCCTTATCATGTTAGATCCACGAGAGGCCCAGATACCTCGACCTGAATGGAATGGCATGGCTCAATGCCGGAGCTTGCGGCGCGTTCCTCGGCTTAGTGTCGATGACCGCGTTGAGCTGAAGGTGAGCTCTTGATGCAACAAATCACATTCAAACTTGATAGACACAAACATAGAGGGTTCTCCCGCTCGAGATCCCCTTATATCTTGATGTCAATTTGGCCTGGTATCAGCAGAGCGCAGAACAAAGGGTGAAGTTTCTTACCGAAGTCAGTGTCATGCGGCTGCCTTGCTGCCACAGCTGACCATTAATGAGCAGATGACTGCTCGGTTTCCTTGCATGGCAAACTACGAGGATGCATGGCCCGTGGAAGTCTGCACAAAGGAGTGGCTGAGTCAACGCCGTCAGCGTAAAAAACGAGAGGCTGAGAAATCTCAGGCCAGTCGCACTGTCCAGTCGACAATGGAGATGAACGTTAGCATCTCTGTACGACAAGTCTCTGTTTCACTGCCATGCCCAAATCAGCTGGCTATGCAAAAGGTAAGTTGTGTCCCAACTCTCTCTCTCTCTACAGACTCAGAAGTGAACATGCCAGTCACATCCAAATCCCGGATACCCCTCGTCATCCTCAAGGGACATTAACTCTGTGCCGGCTGCTGCTCCAAGCAATGCAACATCCAGCACATCCGTGCGACGATTCCTTGCGTCTCTCCGGCCCTCCATGCAAGAGATGGAGCCGGTCTTAGCCCTTGGCGGCATTCGTAACAGGGAATGCCTTCAGGGTTTAATAACAATGAATAATGACCAGCAGCGCGCATTCCTTGAAAGGTTGCCACTTAACCTCTTCCAACGGGAAGTACTCTGTGATGGGCTGGCTGCACACAGGCATTGAACCTGAGAATGCACGGT